GGATCAATTGATCCAGATAGATATTGAGATATTCTATCCTATCCTATTGATCCCAGCTAATTTCACCCAGCCAATTATGGGGTAATTTCCCACAGTATTGTGGAAGAGAAGGCATACCTCCTGGGACCTGCCAGATATATTGTACTGGTTCAGTTAAAGGGACTAAACTCTCTAGTGTCTGTAAATTGAATATTGTTCAAGGAGTACTAGCTAGAATTTGGGATATAAAATGTGTAGTGACCACATTTCACAAGCACATTGAAGATGTTACTGACATTTTAGCTTTCACTCACTCTAAAATAACCAGGAGAGAAGAGAAAAGAATTGCTACACAATAGTTCTATTCTCTCTTTGTGCTTACTGTTCTTCTGATATAGAGAGAATACTTCTGAAGATTTGCTATCCGGTGGAAGTTTTTCTATGCAATGAAGAACGTAGAAAATAGAGATTGGACATTTTTGGAAAGTTTCCATTGATAAAACCTCCATGCCCATATTGACACAAGGATGTATTAGATATAAAATTTTCTACTTTTTTAAAAAATTACTTTAAATATAAAATTAAAATGTTGATCCTTTTATTCTGCAAGCTATCCAAATACACTATATTTCCAAAAGTATTCACTCACCCATCCTAATAATTAGAATCAGGTGTTCCAATCACTTCCATGGCCACGGAACATGGCCACTTCCATGTATAAAATCAATTACCTAGGCATGCAGACTGTTTTTAGAAACATTTGTGAAAGAATGGGTCGCTCTCGGGAGCTCAGTGAATTCCAGTGTGGAACTGTGATAGGATGCCACCTGTGCAACAAATCCAGCCTTTAAATTTCTTTGCTCCTAAATACTCCACAGTCAACTGTCAGCTGTATTATAAGAACATGGAAGGGTTTGGGAATGACAGCAACTCAGCCACGAAGTGGTAGGCCACATAAACTCATCCAACATCACAAATACGCTTCTGGAAAAATGGTCAAAAATTCCCATAAACACACTCCTAAACCTTGTGGACATCCTTCCCAGAAGAGCTGAAGCTGGTATAGCTGCAAAGGGTGGACCGACGTCATATTGAACCCTATGGATTAGGAATGGAATGTCACCTATAGTAAGTTCATATACGAGTAAAGGCAGGTGAGCGAATACTTTTGGCAATATAGTGTTACTTTTTGTGGGGTGATGTCCCTGTAAACAAATATGGCAAGTGGTTGTTTTTTTTAATTCGGATTTGATACCACATAATTCCAACCTGATTTGGGAATGAGTATTATTTTCTTCTAAAGAAGCACTTCCAAGTTTGAAGAAATATCTCCAATATGTGTAGAAATCAGATATCTTTATTTCATTTTGTTTTATAGATCTCACCATAAAGCAGCTGTATACAAGAGCCTTTTAAAAATGTGTATAAAATAGACAGTTATTGGTGTTTTGCAATACTAGATACATGAATATGTTTTAAGACTAAGCCCTAGAAGTTGGAAAACCAGTGCATAAAAGGCAATTTTCCGGTTGCATTTTCATTCTGCATTTTATTCTTTCAGATTCAAACAGTTACCAAAAAAGTCCTCATGCCACAAGAAATGGAAGAGCCATCTAATGTTACAGATTCCATCTTTACCATCGTGAATGAAACAGAAGTGACTCCAGAGCCTCAATTAATTATTAAGAAGGCCCTTGAGTTTAAGGATGGAATGAATGTCTTAGGTATTTTCTATATTCTCTCTATATTAAATTTATTTCATAGACATGTTCTGTCATTCAAAAAAAAACCTGAAATTATTTATGTACATAATAGATTCTTGATCTATTCCAGTGTACTTATCTTATGCCCGTTTGAATCTAGGCAGTTTAGGTTAAATTTGAAGCTTCCTTCAGGGGTATATTCACGGAAGGAAACACATTGGTTTCACTCAATTTTCGAGAAATGCCCAATTACATAAGAACAGTTGCAGTTGCATGTACTTCACACTAGTTACCTGTGGAGATGTATAGAGCATGGATGTCAAACCCGCGGCGTCACATTGCCATCATGTGATGTTTTGTGACGTTTTTCCCATTAGTAGAGCTGGGGTGGGCATGGCTTGCACGTGACACATCCGACTCAAGGGCTGCCAATTTAACACCCCTGATATAGAGGGAAAGGCATCGTATTCATTGCTGTGAATTAGTTTTGCATATATAAGTGCACAGTTAAAAGAAAGTTGGATTTTTAATGTTAACTTTTTATATCAGAATATCAGCTGTGATGCCATTTCTGTAAATATGTTCAGGCACATTTGCAGACAAAAAAGGAATTGTGGTTGAGAAATAACAGTGTTGAATAATAGCAGTCAGTTATCAACTGTGCTATTAAAAGGGAGGGTTACAGAAGGAATTGAATTGAATTTGAATTGAATTTATTATATTTCTATGCCGCCCTTTTCCCCGAAGGGGACTCACAAAGTCCTTCTGAACTGGGTAAATCACACAAATTAACAAGAAGGCATTTGAATCAAAACTATACTTAATATGTTATTTTTTTAGAAATGCAACATGTATATGTATTGATTAAATGTCAGATATTGTGAAATCCTGCCAAGGGGAATCTGAATAGGCTAAATGTGACCTTTGGGCTCCAAACATATTTTTTTCCTAACTAGTATCTAAGAGACAAAGCTGATGTTTTTAAGAAGACTGAGGCTACTGATTCAGAGGTGGATTTCTATGGTTCAGCCTGGGCGAACCGGTAGTGGCGGCGGCAGGAGACTCTACCCAACTGCCCAGACGCTTTTGCGCATGCACAGAAGCTGCACACGCCCACGATCAAACCAGCAGTAAAAAAATTGGAAACCCACCACTGTACTGATTGGATAATTAGTTGCTGACATTGCAATGGACAAAACATTAGCTAGTTTCCACTTAAAGGATTTCATTTATTCTCAAGCACATCTAAATAGATTAGACTTATTTTCAAGCTTTGGTCCTCCTAATAGAAGCCAAGAATGTTCTTTCTTAAACAATTTTTTTCTGCTAATAATTCTGCATATCTCTGAAACCAAGACACAGTTCAGTTACATCAGAATGAAGATTAAGCAAGGTATTGTGTAGTGGGTAATAGCATTTATTGACTCAAAACTGGAACTGAATTGCCTGAAATTTATACTCTGTGCCCACAGGGTCTTAACCAGTCATAATATATTGAAAAACCCACCAAAATATGAATATTCTAAGTTTCCCTCCAAAACAGTTGGAGCTAACAGTTAGGGTCATCTAAAGGTTAGTTTCACTTTAGCAAGGCTTAACACAACTATATAAATTCAGTTCATAACACAAAGAACTTGAACAAACTTAAAATAGAATGTCTTTGCAACTCCTTGTATTTCCAAATCTGCTCTAGAATTATCCCATTTTTCTGGAGTATATTTAGAAATGCAGGGAGAGCAGTGGGAGGACTGAATCAGTTCCATCCTTAGTTTTTGTATTGTTTAGGAATTTTGTAGACACCTTAGTATCATTTGAAAATAATTCATTTCACAGATAGTTTCTTGTAACTCTACTCCAAATGCTTATGAGCTTCTGCATCAGATTCACAAAGATGTTAATGAGATGAGAAACTAAACTGATCCTTGACTAAGAGCCACAGAGCAAAGCTACTCCCTCAACTCCATAATCTGTGAATGCTTGGTCAATTAGAACTGAATTTCTTCAAAATAGTATCTCAAATTCTACATCAACCAAACTTTCCATAACTGAGGTCAGAAATACAGGATGCCTCTGAGTGGTTAAGAAAAATCAATAGAGGTGTATATTGTTTATTGAATTATATGCTATATATTTTATTTCTGGGGAGTGATTAAGACATTAAGCTATAAATAGGGGGACTGTGAGTTCTCATCCAACCTTGGCCTGAAGCTAGCTGGGTTATCTTGAGCCAGTAACTTTCTATCAGTCCTAGGAAGGAGGCAGTGGCAAACTACTTCTGAAAAACCTTGCCAAGAAAACACACACACACACACACACAGTTTCAGAATTTATTTAAGGATAGTCAATGAATACTTTGAGATGAAGTGAGATGAAGTGCTCCGCTATCACTATCCATTAAAAGACATTCCCTAATTATATCTGTGTTTTTAAACAGAGCATTAATAATAACCAATATAATAATAACATCTTATGGACATATGACTTGTTTAAGGAAAAAAAGACAAAATTATTGTGCTGGAATAAACATAGGAATATTCCAGATGGAAAATAACAAAGTCTACAAAATTCTGCAGTATGAAGTTTCATTTAAAAAAACAACCCATTATGTAAGATTAAAGCAAGGGAATAATAACAGTTACTGGAACCCATATGAGCTTCCATGCACTGGAAACTGACCATCTGACCCATCTCCTTTAGACCCAAGGAAGCCAAAGGGTCAGAGAATGTTCAAGAAAGCCTAGAAATTTAGGGAAAGAGGGAATAACAATGATAATGCAAAATCAAAATAAATCTTACATGTCTGACCTATCGTTATCTTGGTTTTGTCCCCAATTCTCCTTTTTAATTGTATCCCTTCTCCCTACAAAAATCACAATTTGTCTTAATTGTAAATTGAGATACAAGAATACAGAAAATTCTCCTTTAGAAAAGTTTACAATTTTAAAAAAAGTTTCATGAAAGAGTCTGACGGTGGTATTCTTTCAACAGGCCTCATTGGGTTTTTCATTGCTTTTGGTATCGTAATGGGCAAGATGGGAGAACAAGCCAAGATGATGGTGGATTTCTTCAACATCTTGAATGAGATTGTAATGAAATTAGTAATTATGATCATGTGGTAAGTTAAAGTCATCATCTTCTAGATATTCCAAACCCTGTTCTATTTTGGAAATCATTTGGAATTTGATCAGTAATAATACAGAGAACTTCGTTGGGTCAAGCCAAAAGCATATATAACCCAGGAGTCTGGATTACAAATTTATCTAGGAATTTCACAAGCAGGATATGATGATGATAATATCTTCCATTCGTGCTTCCTAGCTAATGAGGATGAAATCATGTTGCCTTTGATTTTGGAGGTCATGGAGACCCAGATACTGTAAGCCTGCCAAAATGTTTGCATTGATGTATTTTATTATATTGAATTGAAACTACAATCTTTTTGTCTTTTTTTGGTTCTGCTTTCCAATTTTGTTTTTCTTCCATTGTACAAAGCACTTAGAGAACAACACAGAGAGGAATTATGGTTTCTTTTTACAATAAGTAAGCAGACAGAAGTCTGTGCGAGGAAGGATTGGGTTCATTAAAAGGTGAACATGGGCTATAGAGCTACATCATGCTACACTATACAACATCTTAGTTCATTATAGAATTCCAGTAGACTATTGTTTCATTCTTCCTCGCTTCATTTTCGATTAGCAGCATCTTGGAAGATGATTAGTAGCTGTGAGCTTGGTTTATACGTTGGGGAAAAATCAATCTACTTTTTATTTAAAATCTATCCAATTTGACTTTGTTCCAATTCAAAGAAAGATTCAGGAAATCATATGCTGTACCTCTTACTGAGGAGCATGGAAAACCCACATCTGGTAGCTGCTGTGTTGTAGCACCGCCTCTTCCTCAGAACAAAGGAATAGATTCAAGGATTTTATAGCTAGGTTTTATTACATTTATTTGCATTTGAACTGAGTTACATAGCCATGTCTGCTTATGGCAGCCTTTGAAGCATTGAATTGTACAGAATATCTGGGGTTGTTGTTTTTCAGCTCTGATCCCTTTGGAGGCCCTTCTCCATCTTTGGGAAGCTGTAGAAATGGTCCATAGCAGTTGATTCATGTCATGGTCCAGCAAAATCTAACACTTAATTTACTGTGTGATGCTCCAGTTTTTTCCTGTATAAAAACTGGATCTTTGCATTTATTCTCACAGGATCCATTCTAAGCTGCTAATAGTGATTCTATAGCTTCTAGTGTCACCATTATAGGGATTTTACCATTAATCTTGTTTATTTATGTAGGCAAAATATTTATTATATTGAGATAAAGTTATTTGTTTTCATATCTAAAAGATACTTGCTGTCCAATTATTTAGGACTGTTATCTGAGGAAATGGTCCATACTTACCAACAGCTTTAGTGATTTGTAAAACTCATAAACACCATAAAACAACATTGAATATTCAATAAAAATTCCTTGAAACCAGATTGGAAGGATTATCCTCAGTGGATATTTCAGTAAGGAGTTGGAAACAGTGCTTCAAATAACATGATTGAGAAGCTTATAGATTACTAGGATTCTTCATTGAAGGATCAGTTGTAAACCCATAGTTTCAGTTTAGTTTATGATAAAATAGTGAGGATGTGACGTGTAAGGGCATTCATGAAATTCCAGCTTCCAGAAGACTGACTTAAGTTGTAATAAAAGCATTAGTCTTTAAATGACACAATATTTTACTGCCATCAAAAACTATCACAGCTGCTCTTCTATAATTAGTTATAAAGATCTAAAGTGAATATTTCCCTACTGATACTAGTAGAATGCAAGTGGGCAAAAAGAATATATAAAGAGATAAGTAAATTGAACATTTTGAGTTTAATTTTCTCATTCACAGCATTATATTAGGCAAAATTATACAGACTTTATACTTAGCAAGCATATATGCAACATTGAAGTAGAATGTGTAAGTTCAAGATTTCTGAAAATGAAATAAAATTCTAATTATAAGAGAGAAACTTTCTTGGCTTCTGTTTTTAGTGCATTTGATTATTACTAGGTTGATACCTGTAATTCTGTTCCACATTTTTAATTTATTTCTTCTAGGTATTCTCCATTGGGCATTGCGTGCCTCATTTGTGGAAAAATCATTGCAATCAAGGATTTGGAAGTAGTTGCTCGACAGCTTGGCATGTACATGGTAACCGTGATTGTAGGTCTTCTCATCCATGGAGGGATTTTTTTGCCTCTGTTGTATTTTGTAATTACGAGAAAAAATCCTTTCTCATTTTTTGCTGGGATCTTTCAAGCATGGATCACTGCTCTAGGCACAGCTTCAAGGTATTTAATAGAAAATGATGATGTTTGCTAGGAATGTATCTCTCCTTTCACAGGACTACATTTTAACCAAAATGGGTGGGAAATTCAATATCATGATAAAGAATTGTGTCCTGAATCATTTTTCTCCAAGGCTATTGCTTGTCAACTGCACGATTGCAGACTGAGACTGTCAGAAAGCTTTATTAGTGTAAAAAGCTTCCCAAAAGCAGGTCAAAGAATTTCGCCACTGGGTTCAGTCTGATGAAAGAGATTGGGCTGGACCTGTTGTACTTTGATCTAGATTGCTCTGAAAACTCTTCTTTTTTTTTTGGAGTTGACGGTGGCCGGATTGTCACTTTTCCATAATTATGTTTTATTTTTAAGTGTCCAGAGGCAATTGATTGGGTGATACAAAAATGGTGCAAACAAACAACTAAACATATAAATACATACGTGTACATACATACATGCAGAATAATGACAATGGGGTCAACAACATCAAAGTCTTGCAGGACAAACCTATTTGTATCAGTTCAAGAAGATAAAACAGCCAATCATCTTCACAAGTTTGGGCTGACAGTTTCTATTAACTTGTACCGTGCCTAGAAAGTGGCATATAGGGACAAAATTAAAAATGCAGAAATAAAACAAACTATTTCATGACTCATGATACTGTCTCCATGAGATCTTATTACAGTGTGTATGAGGATAGGAGCTACTAGTTTGTACTGGGGCCAGAAAATAATACTTAGCCCCTATCTTTATTCTCAGTGTATTATTTCTGTCCTTTGTGACTAATTGTAGTCTATTCTACTCTAATTCTAGTCTGTTCTACTCTATTCTAATTGGGTATGGCTAGTCAAACGAAGACAAGGACTAGAGATGACATAAAAGTCATCCAATATTTGAGGGGCTGTCACAGAGAAAAGGGGACGGATCTATTCTCCAAAGCTGAGGACAGGACAAGAAGTAACAGATGGAATTATCAAATAGTGATCCAACCTAGAATTAAGGAGAAATTCCCTGTCAGTGAAAACAATAAATCAGTAAAACGGCTTGCTTCCAGAGCTTATAAGTGCTCCATCACTGGAGCTTTTTAAGAAGAGATTGGATGGCCATTTGTCTGGAATGGTATATGTTTGCTTGACCAGGGTATTGAATTAGAAGACCTCTAAGGTTCTTTTCAACCTTATTCTGTATTCTGTTTTCCCTTCAGCCCTATTTTCTATTCTGTCTCATGTATATTTCCTTAGATAGCTACAATAGAGATAGGAAATATGACTGTTTTGGTTTCTCAGAGTTCTTCATTTCTGCAAATCTGCCAGGCTTGGTTCATCAGACTGGAAAAATATTTTTCAGAAAATGGACAGTTAACTGCACATTTCTTCAAAATATAATAAAACACATTCATGTTATTTTCAAGTTCTTTTACGTGTGACAAACACGCACCAATGTAGACAGATGCTTTCCCTAATTTTTAAAATGAGTAAACTTCATGCACCAATTTAAAAGCTATGAATATTGAATCAGAACTATGTTTTGGTTCATCTGTTGTCCGAAACATGTAAAAATTTGTCCAATTGAGTTGAATAACAAGATATTTTTCCATCTTCTTTAGCTGCATTATTGGAAAATACTGTTATTATCAAAGCAAAGTATTTCTTTTAGGCACTGGAGGGATTAATCATTTCGTGGTTGGGACATGTTTATGAGTTATTTGAATCTCCATAATGTCTGCTGTGAATTTTTTTCCTTTCCAATATAATCAGAAGAGATACAGAACATAGAGGAAGGAATACCTATGGGATAAATATTAGATTGATCAATACATTTGTAACTGTTCTCGTTTTAGAAGTAAAGCTAATTGTCAGCATGTTACTTCATATTTTGTTTATGTCCCCTATAAAAAGAATATGTGGGTAACTGGAGGAAAACTGCATATCAAAATCCATGATGATTTGTCCATGTTGAAGTGGTGCCAAATAAACTGAACACTAGATACTGAATGTAGCTGCTTCCAACCATGCCTCCTGATTGGCATTTTTGCTTATCTAACAATTGCAATTTAAACTAGAATGTGGAGGCATTTGAAGAATTATTTCACAAAAGGTTTTGGCATGAGTGAAGTGTGTCTCTTTGTAATGTTGAATCACCTATTTCCCAAAGGAACCTTCTGAAGTTCGCTTTGCATAATATGTGCATGTCTTCATATCACTTCACCAGAGTTTCAAGTACATAGTTCTATATACATGCGCTTTCTGGAGGACAGAATTGCTTTCATATTAAAAAAAGAGGAACTTCTCTTGCACCAACAAACCCTTCAAAAGTTTTGCACAGCTCTACCTAGTTGAGGTTAACTGTTCACAAAAAAACTAAGCAAGATTGGATCTGAAAGTTTTTGGATGGAGATTATCGATGGATGAACATTTTCATTTTGTCATTGAAAAGTGAGAAAACTGTTCCTTTAATAATAGCCACATTTTAAGGATAATATGTAATCATCTAGCCAGATCTTTTTGTGTTTTGCTCAGTTGAATTCTATACTTAGAGAAATAATATTCATTGCTGGTACCTGAGGCTGAATTGTTTGGACAACCTGGAACCAAATAAGTTGTTGGAATAGTTCCAAGAATAACTCAAGCTACCCTTGAGTTATGAAACCTTAGTGGTCAAGTTTTGTCCCATCACTGAAAAGCTTCACTCAAAATGTATAAGTTTCTAGAGTAGATGAACAGAGTTAACTTGTGCATTGGAGAGCCCTGGCTGATATTGCACTGTCAGATAATAACATGTAATCAGAATTAATGTTTTTAATTACACGAAGATATATTTGGTGCAGTATCATCAGTATGCTGCTGATTCTCAATTGTATATGTCAGTTGTATATTGTCCTCCAGCGAACCAAGTAAAACTATCAAGGTTCTGTCTCAGTATTTAGAAGTTCTTCTCAGTCATACCAAGATCACACAGTCTGTGAGCACACAGAGCTGGAACCTGAGGTATTTCATAATTGATTCTGGATGAATCACTGTTCTGCTCAGATTCAGGGTGCAATTTTGGGGTTCTCCTTCTTGTTGAACAGATAACAGTTGTGGCCATAGGGCTTTTGAATTACTTAATCTTGGATGCCAACTGGTAGTCGTTCTTATATTGGAAGGTCCTCCTTTCAGTCCTACTTCCCTTAGTCACCTCCTGGTTGGATTATTGCACGATACTCTACATGGGACAGCCCCTGATCCAAAGATTACAGAATGCAACAATATAGATAGTTATGAGCATTCCTCAACTATGTCACACTTCATCAGTCATCTTGTGGAATCCAGGAAACATGCCTTCTTTGTGGCAATTTTGCTGTTTGGAATAATGTTTCCTTGCTGACATACCATTGGCTCCAATCCTGCAAGCTTTTGGAAAGATAATTAATAGTTAACCCAATATATGGTTGGATCAGGAAGAGCAGAGCTCCCATTTAGTGGAGATAGCAATAGCACTTAGACTTATATACCACTTCATAGGGCTTTACATCTCTCTCTAAATAGTTTACATTTTGCCAACTTCGGAAGGGTGAAGGGTGAGTCAACCTTGAGCCTGGTGAGATTCGAACTGCCGACAGTCAGCAGAAGTAGCCTGCAGTACTGCATCCTAACCACTGTACCACTATTTAATTGCTTATTGGTTCAGTTATAGAATTCATTTTTCTTTTGTATTTTGTTTACTGTTTTTTGTAGACTGCCCAGAATCAGGTTGAGTTAAGCTATTATTCAAATGTTTAAAATAACAAAATAAAATCATTTATTTTCCTTGGTCCTTCAGTGCTGGTACCTTGCCTGTTACTTTTCGCTGCCTTGAAGAAAATCTGGGCATTGATAAGCGTGTGACAAGGTTTGTCTTGCCCGTTGGAGCCACAATTAATATGGATGGAACTGCCCTTTATGAAGCAGTGGCTGCCATCTTCATAGCACAGATGAATGGCATTAATTTGGACGGCGGACAGATAGTCACTGTCAGGTAATCTATTGGGGTTGGTAAAAAAATTGATATCCCAGCCTTAAATATTGCAAAATGATTTACATTTGGAAGCACATGCTAGCCTTTACTCATGCTCAGAATCTATACAAAGTTTCCATTTCCATCATAACAAGAAATGAAAGGAGCTCTTTTCCAGTTTCACCATTTATATGCAAATACAGGCAGTCTGATAGCCATCGTTTATCTGATGCTAAACAGTAAGCATGATTTTTCACCATATTGATAGTAAATAGAAAAACCAGGGAAGGTCCAATTGTCTAAACTTAAAAGAATCACATGTTGTTTAATGTCAGAGTAATTAACAAGAATGTAATGGGGGAAAATGTTTTTGAAAATGAACTAATGGACATGTTACAGTAATCTATGCTTAGTGATGGTATCTGGGACCAGAATTTCTATTACTAAGTGATGTGTTCCTAAAGCGCAATGTCATGTGACTGCATCCAGCACTCCCCAGTTACTGTCATTAACATCTTACATTATCATGGCTTTTGATTTCCTTTTGGCTTCCCCATTGACTGTAGTTGTGGGAAGCCAGCAGGGAAGGTTGCAAAATGGATTGGGTCAAAGTCTATCCATTTGCCAGTAGAAAGCAGTTCTCTTTGGAAATGTGAGGAACATCGCAGATCAGAGTTGTAAAGTGTGCAGTGTGTTGACTACAGTACAGGTGGTCCTTGACGTATGACCACAATTGACCCTAAAATTTCTGTTGTTAAGCGAGACATTTGTTAAGTGAATTTTGCCCCATTTTATGACCTTTCTTTCCACTGCAGTTGTTACTGTAAGTTAGTAGCATGCTTGTTAAGTAAACATGGCTTTCCCATTGACTTTGCTTGTCAGAAGGCCATAAAAGATGATCACATAACCCCAGGTCATTGCAGTCATCATAAGTGGGAACCAGTTGCCAAGCATCTGAATTTTGATCATGTGACCATGGGGATGCTGTAAGGATCATAAGTGTTAAAAATGGTCATAAAGCACATTTTTCAGGATCATTATAACTTCAAATGGTCCCTAAATGAACTTTTGTGAGTCAAAAGTTACATTATTTTTAGAAGATAATAACCAGAGTCCATGTTTGCACAATTCCTGTATTAAATAAACCGACATGTTTTGTTTTACAGTTTGACAGCCACTCTTGCCAGTGTTGGAGCTGCAAGTATACCTAGTGCGGGACTGGTGACCATGCTTCTTATCCTCACTGCAGTAGGACTTCCCACCCAGGATATAAGCTTACTTGTGGCGGTAGATTGGCTCTTGTACGTAAGGCTGTCACTAGATCGTCTCCATTTTTGCTTTACAGAGGTTATTTTTTCCCCAAAAGTCAGGACAATGATGCAGCATTTTCTGTTTACTTTTTGAGCAAGCTTCTAATCTCATCAACTTCTGATTAGAAGCGTCTATGTACACTCACCATGTATTTAGTGGTCCTGAAGGATTTGATCTTGGCATATTTCTTCTCACCCCAACACACACACACACACCATTTAAAAACACTGAAAATGACTTATGTATTGTAGCAATAAACAAGACAAGCTGATAATTAAAACACAGTGCTAAAATGTTAAAACTGCAGAGGCAGCAAGAGAGGACAGAATAATATCAGCCAGTGGGACGATAAAACAGTCACTTGATTAACAGCCTATTGCAGTTGATCATATGAGATATTCATCTGACACCAAGAAGACGTTAGTATTGATGCTGTACAGTTCTCCTGGGAGGAAAAGGGGAAAAACATTCCATACCCTAGATATTAAAAGTTAAGAAAGTAGGATGAGTTCTATCACAAAAAGTCCTGTGGACTCATGTCATTGTTTAGCAATTGCCTTGGACATCAACTGTTTGCAGTTATGATGACGATAAAAAAGTAACTTAGTGACAAATGTGCTAATTTATGACTCTGTCTCAGTCACATGTCAGTACATATTTTTGTATGCCTAACCTGTTTAAAATTTCTCCACCACCTCATAGAGTGGAGAGATTGCTTAAATAAGCTATCTCTTCATGAGCTACTTTCCTCCCCCCCCCCTGAAGTGAATCCCCCAAAGTGCTACCTACAAGTTAACAAGCTCAGCTCTTTGACCTTAATTAGTTGATTATAACCTTTGGACCTCTAGAATGGAAATCATGGGGCCTTAGGGATGCTGTGACAGCTTGAGAACCAGCCATTAAGTAGGTTGCCGCATGACTCTGATAAGATCCTATTCAATATCACACTGAAACTTTTTTGCTACCTAAGCAGGATCTGGCTCATAAACTCAGTGTGCAAGGTAAATAGCCAGCAATAATGCATTTCTTTCAATGTACATTCCCCATTATGTACCTGATTACTCTCTTCTCATCCTTTTCTCACAGTGCTGGGGTGAGCATCCCAAAAATCAGGGAAGTGGGTGGAAACCGCTATAAGATTTGTCCTTTTTACCCAACTTCTTTGTGAGTTGAGTTTCAGAAACCCACATTTCTCCATTGTTTGGGTTCTGTTTCAAGTTGTATCCTTCTGAGTTTATAAAGCAAAGGAAAAGTATGAAACAAAATTGTAAGCACATTTCTCAATCACCTGAGTTTCATTTAGTGACTGCTTTCTTTAACAACCAAGTTTCTGGTTCCAGTTACAGTCACTAAACAAAAACTATCTGTAATGCTTTAGAAAAAAGATGCTCTAACCACTAGTTTAAATTTCAACTTCATTCCTATCTTCTGGGTCAAAAGGTAAGAAAATAGTCCTGTATTGGTAAAAAAAAAGAGTATAAAAAGTATAAAAGACATGGCTCAGTGGCTAAGACGATGAGCTTGTTATTCAGAAGGTTGGCAGTTCACCACTTCAAATGCCTAGCACTGCATAACGGAGTGAACTCCCGTTAATTGTCCCAGCTTCTCCTAACCTAGCAGTTTGAAAGCATGTAAAAATGCAAGTAGAAAAATAGGGATTACTTTTGGTAGGAAGGTAACAGCATTCTGTGCGCCTTTGCCATTTAGTCATGCCAGCCACATGACCATAGAGACGTCTTTGGGTAGCGCTGGCTTGTCGGCTTTGAAATGTAGATGAGCACCGCCTCCTAGAGTTGGGAACAACTAGCAGATATGTGCAAGGTGAACCTTTACTTTTACCAGCTGGGAAATTTCAGGCCAAACAGATACGGCAGGGACCTTAGGGCTAGCCATTACCGGGGAAGGAGTGTTCGCTACATTACAGAGATCCCTCCTTCCGGCCCTTTGAGTCCCACTCCAAGACCAGATGGCGCGAGTAGCCAGGACCCTGGTCTCAGGCTGCTGTTGCTAAATGCCAGGTCTGTTATCCACAAGGCTCCCCTCGTCCGGGACTTAATTGTTGACGAGAGGGCAGACCTGGCATGTATTACTGAAACCTGGCTGGGCACAGAAGGAGGAGTCCCCCTTGTAGAGATGTGCCCAGAGGGATTTCAGGTGCTTCATCAGCCGA